CATACATACATGCCGAAATATATATAGTTTTTATCTCTACTATTTTCTTTTCTATTAAATTTGGTACAATTTTTAATTTTACTTCTAATTAATTTTAATATTTTAAAAAATATTCAAATTAATTTCTCTCCTTAAGCTAAACGACAACTATTGAAATATAAATTAAATTGAATTAATGTGAAATATTTTTAATTATGTCTTAATGAGACATGAAAAAGTAATTAATTAAAATATAGTTGTCAAAATTTGTGATTATGGGCTAATTCAAATATTTTTGAAAATATGTAAATTAATGTAGAATCAAGATAATGACCAAATAGAAAAAAAAAGAAAAAAATATACTATTTTAGCATGTGTATAATAGATATAAATATATATATATGTATATTTATATGTATATGTATATGTATATGTATACGTGCACCTTTTTTATTTTGAAGAAAATACACATTCATGCACCTTGACTAAATAAAAGATTTTCTTTGAATTAGATAAGAATAATATCTTATACAAATTTCATAAGTAGTAGAAGTATTAGTAAAGACCCTTTCAACGTATAAATAAAAAAAATAATAAAAAAAAAGTTATCTTTTAATATAAAATTCTAAATTTTTTTTTTTAAAAAAAAGGCTTTTATTAAAACCTTTTAGGATTAAAAAATAATTAAATTTAAAATTAATTAATTATAGATATGATGAATCGTTGACCAAGACTACCCGTAGGAAGACAACAGAGAATGGAATTGGAAGCGAACAACGGGGAGGGGGGAGTGGGACCCACAAAAGATGCCCTCTTAATTTGTTTGTCTTTTGTCCACACATGTGCACGCTCTTGGGCCTGGGCCCACTTTACGTTCATTGCTTACCTAATCCTGACGTCTCCTCTTTTAATACCCAAAATCTCCCTACCCTTCCCTTGTTATTTATTATTTAAAAAAAAATTAATTAATTATCGATATTATACTATATAAAAAAAATCAAATAAAAAATAATTAAAATTATTTTATACGAAATATATTAAAATTTTAATAACCCATCACAAATATTATCTTCAACATATAAAAATTCAAGAATTTACTTTGAAGCTAAGAATAAGATTAATTTATTATTTGACTTGTTCTCCTAATTTTAAATAATGATATTATGAATTATGTTGAATTTTATTATAATTTTTTATTTTTATATTAATTTCATTATAGAACAAAATGTTCTCCGTTAATTTAATAAATTATAGAAGCCGTTATTGAATTTTTATAAATTATACGAGGTCGAACTAATTAAAATAAAAAAATAATTTTAATATGCAAAAATATTTGGATAAGAAACTATATTTATGATTAATCATTAAATTACGATAAATACGCGTGTTAAAAAAAACCTAAATTACATTAATAATATAAAACAGGGTGAAAAAAAGGTCAATACAGAGAATTCACTAACACCCATGAACTGAGAGAGTTCATAGATGTGAAAGGTGGTGTTGGTGCACACGTCAATGGTGATCCAAACTCCCAAACGCGTTTGTCTTAAAACGACAAGCAGTAGCAACAGACCTATGCCTGTTTCTCCTCAAATTCCCTGTTGCTTCTCCTCCTTTCTTTATATTATCAGCTCATTCTTCCATTTTTAATTCACTTTCTTCTTCAGTTTCTTTCTGCTTGGATTTATAATGAATTCTTCTTTGAACTAAACCGAGAACGAGAAAACCCGTTGTTTGTAGACCATACCCTTTTCACTGTTCGATGGGGAACTGCTTACATTCTTCCGCCAAAGTAGATAGTACCCAGAGCCTTAATGCTGCTTGTGGTAACCTTACTTGCCTACTACTTCCCTTCCATCAATTTTTCCCCTTTAGTTTTGGCTCTGCTCTTTCTTTATCTGTTTGTCTTTTGATAGCTGAATCTGTTGTTATTTCCTTCTGGGTCCTTCTTATTTTCTGATTATGGCTATATGGTGTTATAATTTAGAGCTGGATTTGCTAGTCTTCCATTGCTGCTGTTGCCTTGTTAGTCCTCGAGCTTGATTTTGTTTTGGGGATTTTAGGGAAGCAATTTTAGGGAAAGATGTTCTCCTCAATTTTCTCTCTGTTTTGTTCTTTGTCTATTACCCTACTTGTGTATAGCTGGTCATTTCCTGTTAAGGGGCTACTGTTTCTGGCTCTGTTATCTTCTTTTTGTCTTTGTATTTGGAAGTGGATTTATGATGGGCTAGATCTATATCATGTTGAATTCAATGATTGTACTTTGCAACCTAGGCTTGGATTGGACACTTGGATTTCAATTAAAAGAAATTTTTTATTTGAATCTTTGAGTTTCTTAATTTGGGTATTGACTGATTGACATCCGGAGAGACGCCATTAATTGTAAGTTCACTTTTCAGATTTTGTAATTAAAAGTGAATATGCTGTTTAAGTTTTATTTAAACCTCCCTTATGGTGGAGCAGAACTGAAAAATGCAGGAAAAAGTTTTGGTGTAAAATTATTGCTAAGTGAACATTATATAAAGTAATAATTGCAAGTAGTATGCTCTTCTGCTCTTCTTGATATTGTATTAGGAGTAAATTTTCAGTTGGGAAATCATTGTCATTGTGATGGAAAAGAGTGAGGAAAAATCAAAATTATTTTTGTGATTGAAGAGAGTAGCTGGTTAAGTTTGAATTCGATGAATTTGTTCATTCTTGTATGTTTCTTGAAAGTACCTGAGTTTAGTAGTAAATGTCTTCTTGCCACTTGTTTTTCTTCCTTTCTCTCCATGGGCTGACTTTGATTTTCAATAATTACTGGGTTAACCACTTTATTTATAATCAATGACTTCTGGTTTGAAACTAATTTTACTCTTCTCTTGCACTAGGGGGCTCCAGGATATCTAGCAAAACTAGCCGATCATGTGCTCCGTCCAGCCTGACCACCACATCATCATACAGTTTAGACAGCAGCTCTGAAAGTCTTTCTACACCAAGGACTGAAGGCGAAATATTGTCTTCCCCACATTTGAAACCTTTTTCCTTCAATGAACTAAGGAATGCAACTAGGAACTTCCGTCCAGATAGTCTTCTTGGTGAAGGTGGATTTGGTTATGTCTTTAAAGGATGGATTGATGAACACACATTGACTGCTTCAAGGCCTGGATCAGGAATGGTTATTGCTGTCAAGAAACTTAAACCTGAAGGTTTTCAAGGCCACAAGGAATGGTTGGTAAGTCCGGTTCCTTTCATCTTAGTCTCCTTTATTTCTTTCCCGTAAAGTTTTCTTCAGATTTTTGTGTCTGGTTCATCAACTGATAGCCCTTTTGTTTCAGACTGAAGTTAATTATCTTGGTCAACTTCATCATCCAAATCTGGTTAAACTAATTGGGTATTGCTTGGAGGGTGAGAATCGGCTTTTGGTCTATGAATTCATGCCAAAAGGGAGTTTGGAGAATCATCTATTCAGAAGTAAGCAATCACTACTTTAAAATGATATAAAGGCACTATCCTCTGTTATTGTCTTCTATATTTGGACTACTTGGAAATCAGTTGTTATGCCAAAAGGGTGGATTCATAAAATTCAGATATTTCTTACTCTGAAGCTCTGGTTTATGGAAACGTAAAATACTCAAATTGGGTTAATTGACTTGTGTGCCGCCAAGGAACTGCATAGCAAACTTAAGCACCTCTATATTGTTTCTCCATTATCCTGTAGGAAACGCATTTTAAGTATAATTTCCATTGCTACTCAGTATCGATGTTTCTATATCATAAAAACAGAAACTACTCCATCCCCCTTCCCCATGGCTATGATGATCAGTCCTCTCAGAGTTTTTCTGTTATTTCTCAGGCAAGATTTTAGATGTACCATCTCAATTTTACTGAAGTTGTAGGGTTCTTAGTCATGTTTGATGTTGTATTTTGGTTTTCAGGAGGACCGCAACCACTTTCTTGGGCAGTAAGGATTAAAGTAGCAATTGGTGCAGCTAGAGGGCTCGCATTCCTTCATGATGAAAAATCACAAGTGATATACCGTGACTTCAAAGCCTCTAATATTCTACTTGATGGGGTATGCTGAAAAAGGAAGATACTGTTTATCTAATCTGGAACTCTTTTCAGATTATATTACATATACTGCTCCTGGAAAAGAAAATTAAAACTTCTCTTATTGTAAATGCATTTTGGATGCAGGAATTCAATGCAAAACTTTCAGATTTTGGTTTAGCAAAAGCAGGGCCCACAGGCGACAATACTCATGTTTCAACTCAAGTGATGGGTACTCATGGCTATGCAGCACCTGAATATGTTGCTACAGGTTTGTTCAATGCCTGTGTTAGAAACATTAATGTCAGTGGCTTGTTTGTGTGTATTGGCTCTCTTGCCCTTGTTAATACTTTTTTTTTGCTTGATAAGTTTGGCTTATGATAGAACGGAGCCTTTTGTTCTGTCTAATAGGTATTTCAAGCTTTAAGTATTTGATTTACTCACATCTGGATTAAGTAGTGGTAGTTATATAAGAAGTATCTTTGTCTATTAATGTGTATAATTGTCAAAAGCCTTACTCATGGTTTCGGACCTGAGAGAAAAAAGAGAGAAAAGATAAAGAAAGAAGATAGATTTCTTGAGAAAATGCCTATTTATAGGCTACAAATGGAAGAGAAAATGAGTGGGAGAGGGGAGCGGGAACCGCCTGGAAATTGCAATGGCCGAACGGGCAGCAGTGTCATTTTAGATCGCTTTCAGTCTGCTTACAGCGAAAAACCATAACTCTAATTCGTTATAAGTGGAAGAGACCCTTTTGCCCCCATTTGCAAATTTACTCTTTTTTGCCTTCTGTTCTGTAGTAAACCGCCAGAGTGGCTTCTTGACAATAATCTTTTAATAGTTCTATTTGTTTCCATGGAACTTTTACATGAATTCATGTTCAAAAAAGTGGGGATCACTAGTTGAACTTGGAGTTGTCTTTTTTCTTTCTTTTTTTTTTTTTGGTGTTGCAATAACATCAAGGGATTCCCATTGCTTTACAGGAAGGTTAACTGCAAAAAGTGACGTCTACAGCTTCGGGGTAGTGTTGCTCGAACTGTTGTCTGGACGGCGTGCTGTTGATAACACAAAATCTGGCGTGGAGAAAAATCTAGTCGACTGGGCAAAACCATACCTGAGTGACAAACGAAAGCTATTCAGGATCATGGACACCAAATTGGAGGGCCAGTACCCTCAGAAAGGAGCCTACAAAGCTGCTACCCTTGCCTCACAGTGCCTAAACATCGAAGCCAAACTCAGGCCACGAATGTCACATGTTTTAGCAGAACTAGAGCAGCTTCAATCGCCCAGAACTGGAACCAGACATTCTGAATCCTTGACAATTTCTACCCCTATCCAGAGGTCCCCCATGAGACAGCAGCAATCTCCTCTGCATTTAACACCCGAAGCATCTCCGTTGCCTTCATATCGAAAATCTCCTCGGTTAAGGTAATCGATTGATGCATTCATTGATCTGGGTAAATTATTTTTGTATTATTCTGTATGCATTGTTGATATAATGTAGTTTTTATGTGTGTCGATGTAATTTGATTCGTACTCTTCATCATGTTATCATCACATCATATTTCATTTATTCCATATTAGCACCCACGTATTTTCTCCGATTCATACTTTGCTGGTCTATAGAGCTAATTGATTGCTATTAAGAATAAATTAAAATATACACAATCATGATTAATCATTTTGCGTGAACTAGATAATTTTATATCACCTATCTTTTTCCAGTTAAATACAGAAGAAGAAGCAAATATGGAACTACCTAAAACTTAAACCGAGTAAAATTCTAAATCCAATAAAGCAGCTATGTCGTTACTTAGAAGTGAACAGTTAAAAGGATGGATCAGACTTCGAACCCATTAGATATTAAGGTGTGAGTGTCAAGTTACAATGTAATTTACAACATGGTGGTTGTATAGATAATGTACTTATTAATTATATGAAGTAATCAGATAATGGAAAATGCTGAAGCAATAAATCATCTTGGAGTATCAAACGAGACTAAGATTTCCTCCAAATGAAGTGTTAATGGAAAATGCTGAAGCAATAAATCATCTTGGAGTATCAAACGAGACTAAGATTTCCTCCAAATGAAGTGTGTAACCAGTTGAGTGCATGTAAGTTCTGTAACAATGAAGAGTTAAGATTTAAGAAAAGAACAGAGAGAGAGAGAGAGAGAG